GCAGACGGCAGCTTTACCCACTACACCACAGCGCCAACCCCTTTGATTTCCTCTTATGTCTATTGATTGTTTAGGAGTAAGGTGTGTAATTTTCCATGTATGCTTATGATTTCTAAAGTTTTTCTCGTTCTTTTACATGTAATCAGAAAAGATACTTGATATGATTTCTGTTCTTTTAAACTTGTTGAGACTTGTTTTGTGACCTACCGTATGGTCTATCCATGTGCTATTTTTTTAAAAAGATACTAGACCCCCGCCCCTTTTAAAAAAAAAGATTTATTTATTTGAAAGGCAGAGTTAGAAAGGGGGAGAGAAAGAGCCAGAGACAGAGATCTTCCATCCACTGGTTCAGTCCTCAAATGGCTGCCACAGAAGGGGCTGGGCCAGGCCAAAACCAGGAGCCAGGAACCCTATCTGGTTCTCCTCTTCAGGTGCAGGGGCCCAAAGAATCGAGCCATCTTTCCTGCTGTCCCAGGCGTGTTACCAGGGAACTGGATTGGATTTTTTTTTTTTTTTTTGGCCTAGACTTGTCCATTTTTGAAACTGTGGTATTGAAGCCCCCCTACTGGTACTGTATTAGTGTCTCTCTCTAAGTCTATTAATACTTGCTTTACATGTTTGATTGCTCCAGTATTGGGCACATTTATATTTACAAGTGTTGTTTCTTTTTTAATTTAATTTTAAAGATTTATTTATTTATTTGAAAATCAGAGTTACACAATGAGAGGAGAGGCAGAGAGAGAGAGAGAGAGAGGTCTTCCATCTGCTGTTTCACCCCCCCCCCCCCCAATTGGCTACAGCAGCTGGAGCTGCACCAATCCAAAGCCAGGAGCCAGGAGCCTTCTCCGGGTATCCCACATGAGTGCAGGGGTCCAAGGACCTGGTCATCTTCTACTGCTTTCCCAGGCCATAGCAGAGAGCTGGATTGGAAGTGGAGCAGCTGGGACTTGAACTGGCATACCCACATGGGATGCTGGTACTGCAGGCGGTGGCCTTACCCACTATGCCACAGCACCGGCCCCTTATTTTTATATTTTTTGATTTAAACTCTGTTTTATTTCATAGAAGTATGGCTATTCCTGTGTTCCTTTGGGTTCCATTTGCGTGGAATATCTTGTTCCATCCTTTCACTTTTAGTCTATGTATGTCCTTAGAGGTGAAGTGAGTTTCTTGTAAACAGCATATAGTTAGGTTCCCCCCCTTTTTTTAAGTTTTATTTATTTTATTTGAAAGAGTTACAGAGAGGCAGAGGCAGAGGGGGAGAGACAGATATAGAGAGAAAAGTCTTCCATCCGCTGGTGCACTCCCCAAATGACTGCAAAAACCAGAGCAGAGCCAGTCCGAAGCCAGGAGCCAGGAGCTTCATCCAGGTCTCCCATGCAGGTGCATGGGGCCCAAGGACTTTGACCATCTTCCACTGCTTTCCCAGGCCATATCAGAGAGCTGGTTTGGGAGTGGAGCAGCCAGGACTCAAACCGGTGCCCATATGGGATGCTGGCACCGCAGGCAGTGGCTTTACCTGCTATGCCACAGCACCAGCCCTCCCCCCTTTTTAAGATTTATTTATTTGAGAGGCAGAGTTATAGACAGAGAGGTCAAGACAGAGAGAGAGGTTTTCCATCCATTGGTTCAGTCCTCAGATAGCCACGATGGCCGGAGCTGGGCCAATCTGAAGCCAAGAGCCAGGAGCTTCTTCCAGGTCTCCCACTCAGGTAGAGGGGCCCAAGCACTTGGGCCATCTTCCACTGCTTTCCCAGGTCATAAGCAGACAGCCGGGTCAGAAAAGGAGCAGCCAGGACAGGAACCAGCATCTATATGGGATGCCGGTGCCGCAGACATATTGCCTCAGCGTCAGCACCAGGTCTTGTTTTTTAATCAGTTCTATCACTGTAGATCTTTTAATTGAAGAACGTAGTCCATTGGCATTTAACGTAGTAATATATAGGTAAGATCTTATTACTGCCATTTTGATACTTGTTTTGTAATTTTATTATATTCCTTTCTTTCTCCCACTCTTAAAGTTTCTGTGGTTAAGTGATTGTCTCCAGTAGTACACTTTGATTTCCTGCGTATTATTCTTAGTAAGTTTTTTCTTTGTGGTTACCACGAGGCTTACAAAAATTTCTTTTGGCTATTACAAGCTATCTTGAAAAAATAACAACTTAACATTGATTATAAAGATAGGGTAAGACAAAAAAAAAAAAAAGAAAAAACAAGATATCCCAATGAAGCATTCCATATTTGTGCTCCCTTCCTCCCCACATTTTGAATTTTTGTTTTAAAGATTTATTTGTGTATTTGGAAGGCAGAGTTACAGAGAGTGGGAGAGAGAGGGAGAGAGAAGGAGGGAGGGAGAGATCTTCCATCCACTGGTTCATTCCCCAGATGGCCGCAGTGGCCAGAGCTGTGCCAGGCTGAAGGCAGGTGCCCAAGCACTTGGGCCATCTTTCACTGCTTTCCCAGGTGCATTAACAGGGAGCTGGATCAGAACTGGTATCCATATGGGATGCTGGCATCATAGATGTCAGTTTATCTTGCCATACCATAATGCAGCCTACATTTTGAACTTCTAATGTCACATTTGAGCTCTTTCTATTTTGCCTGTCTCTTGACATTTTAATGTAATACTTAACAATATTTTAGTCTTCATAGTAAAGATACAAATGGCTTATATACAGTGTTACAATATTACAGCATTCTGAATTTGAATTTTTTCGTATTGTTACTCTTATCAGTGAGTTTTCTACTTTCCAGTATTTTTGTCCTTACTTGTTAGCATCTTTCAGATTTTTTTAAAAAGATTTATTTATTTATTTGAAAGTCAAAGTTACAGAGAGGCAGAGACAGAGAAAGAGACATCTTCCATCTGCTGATTCACTCCCCAAATGGCCACGATGGCTGGAGCTGGGCCGATTGGAAGCCAGCAGCTTCTTCTTGGTCCCCCACACGGATGGAAGGGCCCAAACATTTGGGCCATCTTCTGCTGTCCCAGGCCATAGCAGAGAGCTGGGTCAGAAGTGGGGCAGCCAGGACTTGAAAAGGCGCCCATGTGGGATGCCAGCACTGAGGTGGCAGCTTTACCCACTATGCCACAGTGCTGGCCCCCTCTTTAAGTTTAAGAACTCCTTTTAATGTTTCTTATAAAGCAGCTCTGGTGGTGATGAACTCTCTTAGCTGTTGTTTGGGCCCTCTCCTATCTGAAGGAGAGCTTTGCAGGATTCAGCTTTCTTGGCTGACAGTTTTTTTCCTTCAGTGCTGCAAAATTCTCATCCCACTCCCCCCGGGCCTGTTAGGATTCTGGTGACATCTCTGCCGTGAGGAAAACTGGGACCCCTTTACATGTTGTTTGCTTCTTTTCTCCTGCAGTTTTGAGAAACCCTCTCCTTATCTTTAAACTCAGATTGTAATATATCTGGGGTAGAGTTGTTTGGATTGAAGCTGACTTGTGACTGTGTGGGCCAGCCGCATCAGTTGAACGGAACCTAAGGGAGAGAGAGGGACCTAAAAGAGGGACAAGGGTGCAGAGAGTGGAGCCAAGACAACAAGGCTGATCAAGGCTCATTTATTCTAAAGTTCCAGCGTAACCAACTGCAGAACAAAGAAGCACAAAGAAGCACAAAAGATAACAACAGACGTAAGCAACTTATTGGGCCTCCGGTAACACAGATGATATTAACAGAGTGTTCTTGATCATCATCCTCCTTCAGGATGGGAGTATGTGACTTTCTTATCCCAAGAACTCCACAAGCCAAGATTGGCCTAAACTTGTCCAAAGGCTGCCTACCTGTGACCTTCTAGTACCTGCATAGTTGTATGTTTCTCTGGATTTGAGCAGTTTTCTGTCATTATCTCTTTGAATGTGTCTTCTATCCTTTCGGCCTTTTCAACTCCCTCTTGAATTCCAGTAACTAGGATATTCTTTTCTCTCTTTTTTAAAGATTTTATTTATTTATTTGAGAGGCAGTTACAGAGAGAGAGAGGGAGAGACAGAAAGAAAAGTCTTCCATCTGGAGCTGGGCCAATCCAAAGCCAGGAGCCAGGAGCTTCTTCCAGGTCTCCCACGCAGGTGCAGTGGCCCAAGGACTTGGGCCATTCTCTACTGCTTTCCCAAGCCATAGCAGAGAGCTGGATCATAAGTGAAGCAGCCAAAACTCAAACTGGTGCCCATATGGGATGCCAGCACTGCAGGCAGCAGCTTTACCTGCTATGCCATTGCACCAGCCCCTAAATATGCATTTAACATACATAATCTACGAAACTTCTTAGCTTAGCAACACAACACACAGTAAAGTGTAGGTTGTCTCCCCTCGCAGTCCTGGGAGCCATGTCTGCTGCTGCCAGCGTTACCAGAGGATTGTACTACATGCTGGTAGACAAGAAAAAAAATCAGAATTCAAAGGATGGCTTTGGGGGCTAGCGCTGTGGCCTGAAGTGCTGGCATCCCATATGGGCACTGGTATTAGTGCTGGCTGCTCTTCTTCCAATCCCGCTCTCTGCTATGGCCTGGGAAAGCAGTAGAAGGTGGCCCAAACGCTTGGGCCCCTGCATCCACGTGGGAGACCTGGAAGAAGCTCTTGGCTCCTGGCTTCGGATTGGTGCAGCTCCAGCCATTGTGGCCATCTGGGGAGTGAACCAGTAGATGGAAGACCTCTCTCTCTCTCTCTCTACGTCTACCTCTCTCTATAACTCTGTCTTTAAAATAAATAAAATAAATCTTTAAAAAAATGGCTTTGAATGAACACATACTGCTTTTGCACATCATACAGAAGAAAAATCATTAAGTCCAGCCATTGTAAGTTGAGGACCATCCACATATGTAATACAGGCAATAAAATAAATTCATAGCTGAAGGAGTTGGGTATTGTGAGTTTTTTTGTTACTGGATTAGCTTGAAGATAATAAAGATGGTTTCTCATGATGGACAGTGAGAAAATTATAAAACAAAACAGGGAAAACTGGCCATTGGTTTCGAGGAAAATAAAGGAATACTATAGAAAGTGTCAATTTAGACTGTTTATTTCATATATTTGCTACACTTCAGGAAATCTCCTGTTTTGATATGATGACAATTTAGCAAGTAAAAAACACATTTCTTTGGAAAAATACTTCAAAGCTTAGGGTTTTTAACATATAAATATAATACACAAAATAAACACTGCACAAAAACCACCCATCCACAAATTGCAGTATGCATCACTACTGAAATACAAAACATTCATGAAAGTATACCTTTACATTGGTTGCAATGTTTTCAACAATGGGCAACAGAAAAACTTATTTTGAAGTGCCATATAAGAAACGTCTTAGGTTTTGTGGGCCATATGGTGTCTGTCACAACTTTTCAACTCTGCTGGTACAGTGGGAAGGCAGCCATAAGCAAAACACATGTAACAGCAAAAGTGAACAAATGCTTTTTGTTTGTATTAGTGTTTTCAAAACTATGGACACTGGAAATCTTATATAATTTTCTTGTGTCACAAAATATTCTTTAATGTTTTCAACTATTTAGAAATGTAGAATCATTCTTAGCTTGCAAGCTACAAAATGGGCAGTGGACAAGATCTGATTGTCAGGCTGTAAACTGCCAACACCTAGATGAACACAAACAGGATCTCTGAATCATTTGGGGGGAAAATACACAATTGAACCAAATCAAGGCACTAGCAGCAATAAGGTGGGGGACGAGTGCTGGGTAACTGTCCCCTTTTAAAGTATTTGCAGCATAATTCATGAAATATAAATTGTGTTGATAATATCTAATATATAGCTCTTTGTATCTGATATTTTTCTAAGTACTTTAAAATATGAACATATTTAGACCTCAAAGAAATCCCAAGATTTTACTATCTTTGATAGGAAAGGAACTGAGGCACAGAGAGGTTGAGAGGCATGCCCCAGGCTAGTGCTCGGTCTAGACAGCTCTGGGCCTAGACAGAAGGAGGCCTGAGTCTACACTCCTGACCATTACACCACGTTGCTTCTACTGGGAAATAAAAAGTACTGAAGAACATTTAGAACTCTTTGACAAAATATGAATGTAGATAACTTTACATACAGCTAAAACATCAACAATGATAATGCTTACCACATAGCACTATTGGTTTTTATTTTGGAAAGTGCAATAAATATTACTAGTTTCAACTGCTTCAAAAGCAGCTCAGGCTTTTGCTGTAAATTTGTGTCCCCAGTGAAATCTGGCTGATCACGAGACAGTTGCAAATTTTACAAAAACACTTTAGCTGCATTTTGAAAGGTTAGTTCAGTAACAATGTTTAGATCCATTTACAAAAAAGCACATTTTTAAAAATTTTTAAAAATTCCACTACAATACTTATATAACAACACAAGTCACTGAGAATTAATAAATGACATGTTGCTACATACAAAAGGTATTGAACTAAGGTTACACATTTTCTCTGTACAACTATGGATGGCTTCCACATGCATGTCAAAGATTTACACATTATGATTTGGTGTATACTCACACACACGTCCTACAACTCCTAAAGGACACTTCATGTGTGTTTAATGATTTTGCCTGGTTATTCAATTTACCTGTACTGTTTTACAGCCCCATACATGTACAGATTTCTTTTTTACAAAAGAAGAAAAACTCAGAAGTGTAACTGTTTCCCTCAGTACAAATTCTTCCAATTTCCTTAAAAATCTCACACATTTAGGATACCTATAAAGGTCTTATCCAAGTATCAGAAATCTGATGTTTGATGAAACATGAGTTCTTGAGAAAGGATTTTTCTTCCTGTTCTAATCTTTGTAGTTTTCCCCTCTGAGTTCTCTAATATATGAGTTCAACTTGTATAAAAAGATTTCTGTGTACTCAGGATACTCAGGAGTTCCTAATTTGTGCGCTTTTGGATGTCTAGCACTGGCTTCTCTAGCAGAAAATTTCTTGAGATTCATTTTAGTTACGGGATTTCATACCTGTGTGATTTTTCCACTGTAAAATAACAGACTTCCCTCATGTTTTATAATTGTATGGTTTCTGCCATCAAATGTTCTCTGCTGCTTTAGTACAGTCTACCAGAGGGTAAAAAATTTTCCCTAATGAATGTATAGAACTTCTCTTTTTATTCTCTGATAGTCTGTGAGTAAAGATTGTGGCTTAAATTGTTTCCACTTTGATGGTATTTATAAGGTTTCTCTAAAGTGAATTAGCTGATTATTTTCGAAGACGAAGTCAGAATTTTTCAACCAACACTACCAGCTTTTGCCTTCTTTGTGTGTGTCTTCTGATGTGCAGTGAGCTGTGATTTCTGGATAAAGGTCTCCCCACACTTCTTACACTTAAAGGGTTTCTCCCCTGTGTGAGTTTGCTGATGTTCTGTTAAGGCTGACTTCTGGTGGAAGCAGTTCCCACATTCCTTACATTTAAAGAGTTTCTCTCCTGTGTGAGATTTCTCATGGGTTTTGAGGTGTGAATTCCTAGAGAAGAGTTTCCCACACTCCTTACACTTATAGGGTTTCTCCCCTGTGTGTTGTCTCTGGTGTATGATAAAGTGTGACTTCTGAGAAAAAGACTTCCCACATTCCTTGCATTCATAGGGTTTTTCTCCTGTGTGAGTCCTTTCATGTAATCTGAGGACTGAATTCACAGAGAAAGATTTACCACATTCTGTACATTCATACGGTTTCTCTCCTGTGTGTTTTCGCTGATGTTTAGTGAGGTCTGATTTATAAAAGAAACTTTTCCCACATTTACTACACTCAAAGGGTTTCTCTCCTGTGTGAGTTCGCTGATGTACCGTTAGAGCTGACTTCTGGTAGAAGCAATTTCCACATTCCTTACATTTAAACAGTTTCTCTCCTGTGTGAATTCTCTGATGGATTTTGAGGTGTGAATTCCTAGAGAAGAATTTCCCACACTCCTTACACTTATAGGGTTTTTCCCCTGTGTGTGATCTCTGATGTACTGTGAGGTGAGACTTCTGGGAAAAGGTTTTCCCACATTCCTTACACTCATAGGGTTTCTCCCCTGTATGTGTTTTCTGATGTACCATGAGGTATGCTTTCACATAAAAGAACTTCCCACATTCAGTACATTCAAACGGTTTCTCCCCTGTGTGTGTTTTCTGATGTTCCATGAGGTGTGGTTTCTGGTAGAAGGACTTTTCACACTTATCACATTCATAGGGTTTCTCCCCTGCATGGGTTTTCAGATGTCTACTGAGAGAAGACACGTGATAGAAAATTTTCTTACATTCTTTGCACTCATAGGTTTTATCTCTGGTGTGACTTTTCTGATGTTTTGTGAGGTCTTCATTTTTAGAGAAAGATTTCCCACACTTATCACAATCATAGGATTTGTTCTCGGAATGAGTACGCTGATGCACTATTAGGGCAGACTTCTGGCCGAAGAACTTTCCACATTCACTGCATTCATAGGCTTCCACTTTGGTATGAGTTTTCCGCTGCTTTGTAAGCTCTCCATTCCTAGATCGAAAGTTCCAAACTCATTAATGTGTAAGAATGTTAAGACTTTGTTTCTGCTGTTTTTTGGGGGTAACTCACATTCATGAGGACTCATAGAGCATCTCCACTGTGAATGTTCTCTGTCACACACTGTAGTTTACTATTTGCAGAAAGAATTTTCTCTTGCATTTTATTCACAGGATCTCTCACCTGCCTGTAGTAATACTACTCCACTTTGAGTAGTAAGGCCTCCCTAGTGTACTTCAGAAGTGTCAAAAGACTACTTCAAAAGTTCAGATCCTGACTAAGGTCTCTATTATAAAAAAAGGACATGCTCATTTGGATTACATTTTTCTGGATTTACACCAGTGCTAGTTTTCTCACATTTATTATTAACTTACTCTCCCATTTCCAGTAACCTGTCAAGATACTGTTACAAAGTTTCTATCTTAAATATTAATTCTTAAACTTGCCTTGAATTTCCAGCTTGGCTTTTGTGGTTTCTTGTTTCAGGTTCATGAATTTTCCATAGGTCTTCTACAAAGGAATCAAAATTGAATACTCTATCAATCTAACACATTATTTAGGATGACTCCTAGGCTTTAGGCCAATCTCCCCAAATAAAAGAACTCTCAAATGCAAATTTCTTCTATCCTACTTTGGGGAAAAACATAATAAACACTACAAATTATTGTAGTAGACAGGGGAAGGAACCTGATTATAAATCCAAATACCTCTGACAGTTTTACAAATATGATCTTAAAAACTTGGAGGAGAAAGGACAAAAAACAAAGAACAGGGAGTAAAGAACAAAAGATTTTCTAAGTGTTTCCTAAACAGTAATGTAGGAATCTTAGACAATGCTGTGAGCCCATTAATGACAATGAAGAGCAAGTAGGATAAGAAAAATTAGTGGACAACTACGATTCCTGGAAATATCAAGGAAAATATTAAATTTAATTAATAAGCTAAACTATAGGTCTCTCTCCTCTCAGACTTAGATTACTGTGTTATTGCTGGTACAGTAGTCCTCCCTTATCTACTAGGGATATGTTCCAAGACCCCCAGTGAATGCCTGAAACTAAAGATAGTACTAGACCATATATATTCTATGTTTTTTCCTATACACAGACACCTATAATAAATTTTCACTTAAAAGAAACACTCTACAGCTTTTTTTTTAACATATCTGAATGGCCAGCATCTCTACTTTTGTGCTTTGGGGTCATTATTAAGTAAAATAAGGGCTGCCAGAATACAAGCACTGTGGTACTATGACAGCTGATCTGGTAATACAAAGACTACCAACTGGGTAGTGTATTCAGCATGAATCCACTGGACACAGCAGGTAATTCAGGTCCCAGGAGGGGCACAGCAGAACTACACAGATTTCACCAGGCTACCGAAAACAGCACACCATTTAAAACTTACAAATTATTTGTTCCTGGAATTTTCCATTTAATATTTTCTAACCATGGTTGTGACAGGAACTGAAACTGTAGAAAGTGAAACTTTCTGGAAAAGGCAGGAGTACTGTCATTATAAACTGGTGTTTTACCTCCTCTTCATCCACCCACAACACTGAAGTGACATCAGTTTTCTCATGTTCCATCACTTGAGCTTTCACTCTCCATCTACTTGGCTCAATCTCCACTGGTACAGAACACATCCAGAAGGAAGAATTTTCTAAAGCAGATGGCAAGCCATCTGTACAACAGGATGAATCTCCAGCTGTAGCACCAGATATTTTCATCCCTGAAATTTTCTTGACCACCAAATGTATTTCCAAACACTGATCTCCAGTTCTCCTTTCATATACTTGATTCCTACGTCACTGCTTCCAATTTACCACATAATGTCCAAAGATTAGATTACCACCATCCTTCTAGAATCTTTACTGATCTTCATATTTATTCATCTTTAAATGTATGAAATCAAGAGAAAGATTATATAGATTAGAATTTTATTGTCTCTGTAGGGAAAGTTATTTGATAGGGACTTGCTGAAAATTAACATGAATACACAGAAAGTAAGATCCTATGCATACAAAATGTGAAGGAGGGAGTAAAGTGGGGATTATTGTGTGTTTTAGGGCTAAGAGGAGAAATAAATAGTGGCAGGAAAAAAGGGCTGGGCTAGTTCTTGACAGAAAATTAATTTAAATATATACTCTAATAGTGGGTCAGTATAAGTTTACCATGATAGGCTAGTGACAATTTAAGTCTGCAGCACTACACAACGACTACGAGAATTTAAATTAATAATTTAATTTCAACCCTAAGAAGGAAGTGAGTTCAATGAAATCATCATGTAAGAAGGTAAAATATGGCACCAGAACACAAATAGGAGATGCTGGAGAGGTCAATTTTAGGATTTCTCAGTATAAAAAATCAATGTTTTGGTCTTAAGAATGGGTAAACTCTTGCAGGAGTTACTATAAAGGGCTCAGAACAGAAGGTAGATAGTGTCTATTTCTTGTTAATCAACAACATTCTTTCAACAAATATCCAGTGAGCAACTAACATGTACCAGGCATTTATTTCTAATCCTGGCAAGCCATCAGCATATGAGAAAATATATGAAGATTGGAGGACGCAGGCATGGCTATTATCTTAGGATTACAAAGCACCTCCAATAAGGTACAATGCATCTTAGCAAGGATTCTCAGCACTTCATGCAAAGGACAAATGCCATACAACAAGTTGATGAGCAGCACGGCCGTTTAAAACCTGAGGTCAGAGGTTCATGAGAGAATAAGAAGCTAAAACTAGTGCCAGTAGTAAGTATTTTGTTGTTAATAAAAGGAGGATGGTGAGAAGTCATTTGAAGAAGTTTGTACATCAGATTTACGAACAGTTCAAAGATTATAGCTGCATACTCTAATAGCACAAAGTCACTGGAAATTCTAGAAAAAAGACAAAAGTTTCAGGCAAGGTTAGGGAGGGATTAAATTTTATATGTAGGAAAGAGAAGTAAATCTATTATAAGAATATTGAGCATAGGAGGGAATTTAAGTTGGAGATAACAAAACATTGGAAGTGTGATTTAGGTTTCTCACATGTGCAGATCATGTCCTCAAATCACTTCTAGAACTATAGGGTATTCAAAAGGAGATTTCTAAAAAGTATTTCAAATGGCAAGAGACACCCACCACTTCACTAATAACATGGGATATAATTTCCTCTAACTCACCAGGGTGGCTCTGATGAGGAAATTCTACTTCTAATATCCATGGCTTTTTTCCTTGCTTCAACTTGAAGACAGTATTTGGCTTACTCACACGATAACCTATTAATGGAAAAGATACAAGAAATGATACAAATTGAAGTTTAGAGACTCTGAAGGATAGGGAAGTTTCAGGGCAGGAACAATGAAAGCCTCACTTGAGCTTGGCAAATATAGATTCTTTTATTGGGGAGGTTGGGACAAGTATATTTTTCTGGTTCCCAGAGTTGATTTTAACTTTGATCCCTGAAACAAAGCTACTATCGTTCAACCCTATCGCGAGCTTCTTTGTTCCAGTAACGGGGAAAGGAAATTGAAACGACTGGGAATTACATATGGAGACTCCTTCTCACCCACAGCAGCCAGGAGACTGTAGTTTTCCAGCATCACTTCCTTGTACAAGGTTCTCTGAGCAGTGGTCAGTAATTTCCACTCATCCTTGTTGAACTCCACAGTAATATCCTTAAATGTCACTGGTCCCTGGAATGACATATTTCAGTTCAATATGAAGTAACTAGAATACAGGACCAGTGAAAAGATACATTGAAATAACTCTTAGTGCACAAAGTGCAGAACTGACTCTGCTGTAGTGCTCCACTGGATCCTACTTATAAATCATACAATAATAATTCAATGTAAATTTACTGAGCTCCCACTCTGTGCCTGAAATTCTGCTGTAGATACTGGTGACTAAAAGCAACTTTCTTCATATCCTGGAGCTTGCATTTTGACAAGAAGGCAAAGATGTAAATGCTTAAATGCTACAAGTAGAGCAGCTGTTATGACAAAAATACATACAAGATACAAGATGGTCACAAATGGGATAGTTGTTTGCATTTTGCATTGCCATGTCAGATTTTATTAGGTGATCAAACTGATACATTCAAACTTTAGAAATAAAGAAAACACAATTGGTATGCATGAGAAACGGCCAGCTTAGGAAACTGAGAACAGGATGCAGGACCAAGATTAGTCAGGGGGTTACAAAGTCAGGTGACAGACCATGAAGAAATTCTGAATTTGCCATTTGGACAAGTAAAATGTGTTTCATATATATACTTAGTAGATCTCTTATTAATATATTGCATGTGAGAAGTCTTCACATATTCACAAAAATGTATATTAAGAAAAAACTATGTTTGGATTTCAGTATTTTGCACCAAATAAACATATTTTAATTCCATACTCCATGAACTTTTGAAGTACGTTTGTACAATTATAGCTATTACAAATAGATGAACAAGTTTCTCAAATTAAAGGTATCTTGTTGAGGAAAACATGATGAATAGACAGCTGTATAAAGCAGACCACATAGTGTGACTTTTGATGTTTAAAGTTCTTTCCTATTCCAAGTTACTTAATATTAGAGAGTTGTGCTACACTTTTCTCCCACTTTGTTTTTTGTTTGGGAGAAATTTAAATCAATTGAAAATGTGTTAATTACACTTTCTGCTTTTTTTTTCTTGTATGGCTTTTGGGTAATTTTTCAATTCATGATCAAGTGAAGATAAAATTTATTTTTATGGTGGAGAGGAGTGAAGATGTTAGTCTTGCTTCAAAAGCTCACTCATTGGTTGGCACAGTAAGATACACATTCTTTGAAAACATTTCACATTCTTGGCATTTGGGGAGCTGCACTTAGGTTCTGTGATACTTGTATGAGCCCTAATTTCAGCACCTTACTTTCAGATTTTTGTCTATGTATTTTAGAGGCAGAGAGAGCATAACACTGAATGGCAAGCAAGAGCCAGAGTGAGAGAGCTCCCAAATGCCTACAATAGAAGACAGAAACTCAGTCCAGCTCTCCCACGTGAGGAGCAGGGACCCAAATACTTGACCCATTACTGCTACCTCCCAGTGTACACATTAGCAGGAAGCTGGGGTCAGGAGCTAGAGCCAGGAGTTGAATGCAGGCACTCTTGATATGGGATGCAGGTGTCCCTACTGACATCTTAACTGCTAAGCTGAACCCTCACCCCTGAAGCTTACTTTCTCTTTGGGCTTCACTACCAAACACATAAATGATTCCTTCCTCTCCTGTGAAGAGCTTGCTCCAGGTTGACAACTCCACACATTCCTAGTCCCTTCCTTTCTATTCCCAGTGCCACTGAGTGGCTCCCACTTGTCTTAGTCCCTTCACTATCTGTCTCTGCCTCGGCTTCTGGCAGTGTCTATGTGCTTCCTCTACACTGTGACCTCACCATCTCTTTTCTTCCATACAGACCCCTCCTGACTCTGGAGTCAGCTCCAGTCTGACTGCTTTGGCACTGATTTCTCAACTTAGATGTGAACTGTAGTAGTCTCATCATTATACAGTAGCAACAGGTTTTGGAGTATAGAGACTGTGGGGAGCAACTCAGACTAGACTAAGTTACTGGAATTAAGACTTATTCTATGCATCTGCTCTCCCACAATATGGCGCTGGGAGAGAAGTAAACAGCTCCCGCACAGCTGCCTCCAGTTCAGCCAATAAACTGTAGTACTTGCTCCTGATTGGAGGAGAGCAGTGTACTCGGCGTGTGGGCAGCCGAGTTGGGATTGGCAGAGGAGGACTATAAAGGAGGAGAGAGACGGCATGCACCAGGAACATCTAAGGGGAACACCTGTGCAGCCCCCGAGAGAGCCGGCCGGCGGTGTGCTGCTCCCCTGCGGAAGTGGGGAAAGTGGCCAGGGGGAACCGCCCTTCCACGGAGGTGGAAGGGACAGTAGCCAACCCGGGAAGAACCAGCAGCAAACCCGGGGAGGGCCGAGCAGACGAAAGAACAGCGCAGGGTCCTGTGTCGTTCCTCCACGAAGAGGGCGAGCGACAGAGACATCTGAATTTCACCCACTAACATTATTTCATGGTAACTGAGAGTCCGTAAGCAGAAAGAGGAACACAAGGAGAAGGGTGAATTGAGCAGGAGGCAATGAGTTGAAGTTTGTTTATGTAGGGCTTAAAGTGATGGTGCAACAAACAGCTGGAACTGTTTTGGTAGCTACACATACACATAAATTTCTTCAAATGATATTTTCATATATATGAAAAACCGAATTCTAGGAAAACCCATCCAAAGATCTGAAAGGGTAGCAATATTTTGAGGTGATGATGGCAGAAGAAACTAGGCCCAGATCATGGAGCCTGAAAGAACTTCTCTAACTGCAAGAGGAAGCCAGGAGGAGGGTGCTTTAGGAAACCAAAGACAGAGAGAGTCACAAATAAGAGACAGCTTTCATTCAAAATCTAAATGTAAAAAGTCCAAATTAAAACAACTGCATAACAGCACTGGAGTGAAAGCTGTAATCAGTAAGCAAGACTCTGAGAAATTTTTGAGAAATTTAGACTTCATAGGATCACACAATGTAATAGGGATACATAATATGACTGGTAATATTAGCCTGGCTCACTTTGTTAAGGTGATGTTTGCCAGTTTTCTCCACTGTAATTATTTTTCTTTTTCATACTCTATACTTTGAAATAATTCAAAGTCCAATGCATACTTAATGAGGGACAAATAAGCTCCTACTCCTAGATCAGGCAGAATTCACACATATTATCTGGAATGCTTCATTTAAAAAAAGTTGTCTCATTTATTTATATCAACATGTTCTCATATTTATT